TTTTAAAGATGAGAAACTGAAATAACCAGGACTGAGTGACTTGCCCTGGGTCACACAGCTAGTAATGTCTGAAGCTAGATTTGAACTAAGGAAGATGAGTCTTACTGACTTTCAGGTCTGGTGTTCTATTCTCTGTACCATCTGGCTGCCTGTTCTTATTCTCAGGGACAGCTTAATCAGTATAATTACATTGCATTTGTTTAGGTTTTTTGCTCTTCTATTAATATTGTTGTAGTCATTATGCATATTGTTTTTCTGGCTCTGATTATTTCACTTTGAATCAATTCATATAAGTCTTCCTATTATGCCCTACTATTCTAAAAAAAAAAATTACTACATTAAACCTTACTTTTTACCCCTACAAATTCCGGGTAAAATTAAATAGCAGATTATCTTTTTTTTTCTCCTTTTTTTGGGGGGGTGGGAAGGAAGCAATTGAGATTAAGTGACTTGCCCAAGGTCACACAGCTAGTAAGTGTCAAGGGTCTGGTCTGAGACCATATTTGAACTCAGGTCCTCCTGACTCCAGGGCCTGTGCTATATCCACTAAATAGCAGATTATCAAAGTCAGTCTGTAAGCCCTTAAAAAATGAGTAATTATCACAGGATTTAGAGATGGAAAGGAGATCATTTAGATCCACTCCTTCAGATTAAGAAACTAAGGCATAAAAAAAAAATCAAGTCACTTTCACAGAGTCATAAGAAGCAGAATTGATATTTGACTCCAGATCTCCTCACCCAAAAATAGATACCATAGTTTTTCCATTACCCCACACTGTTTCTCAAGATGAGCCAGCATGGGGTCATTAAGATCAAAGCCATCCCAGACTAATCTCCTTTTCTTTTTTCACCAGGCTAGAAATCAGTAGAATCTCATGGATGTGGTATATCTGGATTTTAATAATCCATTTGACAAAGTCCTTCATGATATCCCTGTGATCAAAATGGAGAAATGAGGTAGATTAGATCATACGAGGTCTAAGTAGCAGCTAGATCGAGCAATGGATGGAACAAAGAGCCTGGAATCAGGAAGACCTGCATTAAAATTCAGCCTCTGATATTAGTTATGTGATTGTGGGCAAATCATGTAATTTCTTTCTGCCTCAGTTTCTTCATCTGTAAAATGGAGATAAGAATAGCATTTACCTCCCAGGGTTGCTGTGAGGATCAAATAAGATAATAATTATAAAATGCTTAGCACATTGTAAGTGTTAGTTATTGTTATTTACCATTGAAGTGTGTTCAGAACTGGGTGACCTAAAGAATATTGATTAACACATCCATGTCAACCTACAAGGCAGTCTCAGGTAGATAAATGAACGAATGAATGGGAAGCACTGTTTGAGAGTTTACTATGTGCAGGAACACTGTGCTCTCAAGGAGCTTACTCTCTAACTGGGGGAGACCACACATAAAAGAGCTTTGCCTGCTGGTCAGATAGAGAGGCCCCAAGGGCACATCAGCGGTGTGGGTGGCAAGATCCACCCACAGAGTTCTCAGATCATGGCATTATGACGGCATAGCACTGCAGGTCAGAGACAGAGCAGATAGTAAGGCTGGAGGACCTTGGGAGGCAGTGACAGGGCAGTGGTAGGTAAGGCCTGGTGCTCCTCTATTTCATGGGAAGACAGAGCTGTTGACACACATTTTACCCAAGCCTGGTAGTAGTTAACTAGTCTGAGGGAGGGAGGAGGTGGGGAAGGAAAGGCACAGACCTGTTGTGATGAGAGGTGAGTGTTCCAGAGTTCCAGTGTTCTAGTCCTGGCCTTATTCTCTTCAATATATGCCAGTGATTGGCTCGAAGGCTGGAGGTAAAGGCTGCTTACCAGATTTGCATATGGTATAAAGTTGGGCCAAATAGATAAGTAATACACTGGAGGAAAAAAAATAAAGCAAGATCTCAGATGCCCTTGTCAGGCTGTAACAGTGGATTGAAGCTAGTAAGATATCAGAAATAAAACGTTAGGTCCACAAAAATCACTTGAGTTGCACAGTATGAGTACAGATCATACAGATATGGCTAGAATGTATTTCCTGCAGAGAAAACAAAACACCTAAATGCTTTAGTGGAATGCAAATTTGATGTGTCACCCTTGTAATATGTCAATGAACAAAGATACTGATGCACATCTAGGCTGCATTTTGTATAAACATATAGCATCCAGAATGAGAGAAGTAAAGGCCCCACTGTACTCTGTCCTGGTGAAAACATATTTGGAATATTACGTTGAGTCCTTGGCACAACATTTTAAAGGAAACATTGATAAATTAGAGAACAACCAATACAAGGAGGGCCCAGAAAATAATGCCACATAAGGAATGGTTGAAGGAAATGGAGAAAATTTATATGACATAGAGAAGACTTAGTAGAACAAGATAGGGGCAGTTAGATGGCAGAGTAGAGAGAGCACTAGCCCTAGAGCCAGGAGGACCCAAGTTCAAATCCCACCTCACATACTTACTAGCTATGTGACCCTAGGCAAGTCACTTAATCCCAATTATCTCAAAAAAAGGGGGGGGGCAGCTAAGTGGCACAGTGGATAGAGCACTGGCCCTGGATTCAGGAAGACCTGAGCTCAAATCCAGCCTCAGACACATAACACTTACTAGCTGTGTGACCCTGGGCAAGTCACTTAACCCCATTGCCTAGCCAAAAAAAAAAAGGGGGGGACACAATAGCTGTCTTCAAATATTTGAAGGGCTATCACATAGTAAAAAATTAGACTTATTCTGCTTGGCACTAGAGGGCAAAAACTGGGACCATTTGGATAGAATCTCAAGGAAATGGACTTTTGCTCAACAAGTAATTGAGGTATTTAGATTAAAAAAAAGGGAATATTCTCTATTTGGAGAACTTCAAATGAGTTCTCCATCATTGGAGTTCTTCAAGCAGAGGTTAGATGCCATATGTTGGGGCAGCTAGATGGCGCAGTGAATAGAGCATCAGCCCTGGATTCAGAAGGACCTGAGTTCAAATGCGGCCCTCAGACACATAATACTAACTGTGTGACCCTGGGCAAGTCACTTAACCCCACTGCCTAGCAAAAAAAAAATATGGCCATGTGTTTGGCATATTATAGATAAGATTCCTGTTTTAAGTAAGAGTTGGACCTGATGGCCCTTCTAACTGCAGTTCTCATAATCCCTGCTACTTTTCATGGATTCAGAAACCATCCCCTGGAGAAGTTGTTAGAAAATTTTGTCTGGAATTTGTGGAGCTGAGAAGTAGGGACTACTGTATTAACTCTTTTAAAATATGAGACAGATGCGTACTGGTAAATGTTTAATAACCAGCACTCCAAGGTGAATGTATGCCTGACATAGTTTTAATTTTAAGCTGCATTATTAGCATTTTCTCCATCATTTTTCTGTGTAGACATCAACAAAACAAATAATTAAGCCTTGACTTGTAGAATTGCTGATCTCTGGGGTGTAAATATTCACACTAAAAATTTAACAATCAGACTCTGAGCTGGTTTCAGTGTACCCTTGATACTAGGGTATATAGAGTAGTGGTTGGTACCTCCTCCCCGCCTAGAATGAATGTCAAATTTATATTGTTAAGCTTTTATAATTCTAGATTATTCACCAATTTCTTGAAACTAGGTTTTGTTTCCAGGGGTAGAAAGTTCAAATTTTATGAGTTACTTTCATTCAAGTTAGGAAAGCGATATTTATCCTACTGCAGTTTCCTTGCATGAGACTGACAGTGTCAGATTTGAACTTTAGAAATATCAATTTGGCTGCTATATGGAGGATAGATTGGAAAGGGTCCAGAATGGAGACAGGAGGTCCCAAAAGAAGGCTATTTTAATAATCCAGGAAAAATGATAAGGTATGAATTTGGGTGGTAACTAGATGAGAAGGATGAAAGGGACAGATAGGAGATTTATTGTGTTGGTAAAATTGATAAGACTTAGCAGATAACTGGACAGGAGGGATAAATTAGTGCCATTCACTGAAGCAATTGGAATGAGGCTTCCCTAAGTTTAAAGAATTTGAAAACGTGGAGGAGATTTGATCAGTTTATCCTATTCATTTCAATTCCTTCATCTGGTGGTCAATATTTCTCCAAATGAGTATGTGACAATCCCCGCTAGGGAAGCAAAAAGTAAACTCATACAAAAGAATGATGTATTCCAGGGAAATTTATTAAAGAAAATTCTTCACAGCTGGCTGGAGATGGGAGTGTGATGCTGCAGGTTTCCAGATGTGCAACCAAACAGGGACAAAGGCATGGTAGCTCATTAGAGGTAGCTAGGTAGCATAGTGGGTAGCGTTCCAGATCTGACATCAGGAAGACCTGAGGTAATGTGATTTTCTAATGGCTTTAATATGTCTACTTGTTTTCTTTAACCTGTAAATAGACCTGTTCTGAGCCTTTGTAAGGGGAGTTGGTGACCAATAAATAGGTGATATTTAAATAGTGCTTTCAAGTGCTTTGCAAAGCAAGCCCTTTATGTATCTTTACATAATGCTCTGATTCTCATAACAGCACCAGCTAGGTGCCAGAGGTATCATCCCCATTTTGCCAGTGAGAAAACTAAGGCTCAGTGAAGGGTTAAATGACTTGCCCAAAGTCCCAGAGCTAGGAAGTTAATTTGACCTACTTAATTTATTACAGTCAGACATCCTTCCCAAAGACACTTATCTTAGCCTGTGAAGCTAGGTCTATACAGAAGACAGTCCTGCATTTCAGGAACTGTCCATGTATGTACGTGAAAGAACCAGAAGAAGTGGCTGCCCCAGCAACATATTTCTAAGACTCACACTATTTAAATAGTCTTACTCATTCATGTAAAGGAATAGGGGGAAAGGGAGGGAGAGTTTCCAACTTCTTCTTTTGAGATCTCTAATGTAAACAAACAATGAAAAGACTATAAAGGGTGCAGTTGTTTCTACTGTGATTTGCTAGCAAAGGCTACCTATGTTGACTGGGCATGCTCAGCTGTGACAGTTTCAGTTCTCAATAGTGGATAAAGAGAGAAGACATGAGAGTGAGCCAGGACACAGCTGACCCTAACAGAGCATTGAACTTGAAAAACAGGGCCAGGAATAAGGTAGGGGGGTACCTGGGAAAGTATGAGCGTTAAGAGTGGCTGGTATGAAGTGTTTTCATATCAGCTGCCCTGCTGGGTGAACTCTCTACCCAGGGTGTCTCTGCTCCTCACTGCTTCTCCACTCTCTTCACTACTCAATTTCCCACCTGGAAATCTTTCCACATAATTTAACAATGTATATTAAAAAAAAAAACTAGGGAGCACCAAGAGACTCCTGCTAAATGGTCCTATTCTTTATCCTTTCATTCCTGAGAGGACTCTGTTTATTCCATCCTTCGGGTTGGTTGTGGGCCATATGGTTTGTCCAAAGAAAAAGAAAAATCAATTCCTTAGGGGTAAATAACCAAACTACCCTGCCGGATAGGACTCCTTAAAGTTAATTTACAACTGCCTGGAATGCACCTTACCTAGTTGGGAGTGAGCTAAACACAAAACTACCTTGCATTTGCTTTGTGTCTTTTCTGTATTACTCTGATTGCAGAGTCCCTAGCAACTTAACAAAATAATATAAAATGACATTTTGTCAAATGGAGCTTGATAAAAACGTATACCTGCAGGAAGGCTGTATAAGAAAAGCAGGATATTTGTGTGCCTTTGGCACTCTCCGAGTCTGGGAAGGGGATGGGAGGGAGAGAGGTGGAGACTAAAAAGGCAGTAAAACCAAGCATCCTGGCAAGATCAGGGGACCTGGCTTTCATTCCAGCCTGGGATCCTGACTACATATTTAATCTTGCCCAAGTTACTTACCAGCTTTCTTCTGAGCCTTGGTTGCTTCATCTGTGAAATGAGATAATTGGACTATTTGATCTCTAAGGGCACTTCCAGCTCTGATATTCTGTTTCTGTGCAATCATACAGTAGCTAACCCAGTATTGAACACATACTTCCAATAAGAATTTGGGCCAGGATGGGATAGGACAGACCAGGAGTGGGTCCAGGACCACATAATCAATCAGCCAATCAATAAACATTTATTAAATGCCTACTATGCACTGATGGGGTTTCTTACTTAACTTGGAGAGTTCTAGGAAGTCAGGGTATTTGGACTGGAGTAGGGTGGAATAAGGAAGTGAGAAAATATCAGAGAGTATTTTGAGGACTGCGAAAGGAATTTAAAAGACATCAAAAAAAGAAATATAGTCAAGCATTTGGCAAATATTTCTTGCATGCCTACTACATGCTAGGTACTATGGGGGATAGAGAGAAGTATAAGAAATGGACCTTGACTTTAAGTAGACATTAACCGAGCATTAAATGCCCCTCGCATGATGATCATCTCTGCCTTAAAGATGTTTATAATTAAGGAAATGAAACATACCTACACAGAATTACAGAACAGGTCACCTAGTCCAATCTATAGGAATGTAGAAATCCTCTCTATAATGTCCCAAACCAATGACATCTGCTCGAAATTCTTCACTTAGGGTTAATTCACTGCTTCTTAAGGCAGCTTATCCTCCTTTTAGATGTCTCCATCAGAAAGTTTTTCTCTACAGCAAATCTAAATCTGCATCTCTGAAACCTCCAGACCTCTCCTAAGCTTCTACTGAGACCAGAAAAAGCAGCTCTAATCTTTTTTCTAGATTACACTCCTTCAAACACTAGAAGAGATCAGTCATGTCCCCCCCCAGATCTCCCCAAATCTTTTCTTCTCCAGGGAAATGTTCCTAATTCCTTCAAATAACCTTAGTATAGAATGGAGGGGAAGTGAATAAGTGTTTATATAGAGTGTATTGTGTACCAGACACTGTGCTAAGTGCAAATAATATCCCATTTGCTTCTCACAACAGCTCTACAATGTAAGAAGTGTTATTATCCCCATTTTGTGGCTAAGGAAAGTGAGGCAAACAGAGGTTAAGTGACTTGCCGGGTGCCTAAGACTTGATCTGAACTCAGGTCTTTCTGACTCCAGGCCCAGAGCTCTATGTACTCTATCTATCAAGATGCCTTAGCTGAACAGTCTTCAGTCGCTTCCCCACGCTGGTTGCCTTCTCAAAGACTTATTCCAAATTGTCTATGTCCTCAAAATACAGTATCTAGAACCAAACCTGAAGTTCCAAATGATTTTTGACCAGAGCATGGCAGGACAGAGCCATTATCTCTTCCATCTTTCGACACTACGTCTGTATTAATGTACATTAATCACATTACTTATTCCTTTTGAGTCCACTAAGCCCCTTGGATCATTTTCCAATGAAATCTTATCTAGTTGTGCCTTATTTATCCTGGTATTTATGCAATTCTTTTTTTCTTTAACCTAAGTTAGGACTTAAATTTTATCTCCATTCAGTTTCATCTTATTAGATTTGGCCTATTATTCTAATCCAGTGGTTCTCAAACTTTTTGGTCTTGGGACCACTTTACATTCTTAAAAATCATTGAGAAATCCCTTTCTCCCAAAGAGTTTTTGCTTATATGGGTTATATCTATTGATATTTACCATATTAACATTAAAATATCTTAGTAGTATTATGAAAAAAGTTTCAAATTTGTGAACTCCATAAAAGGGTCCCCAGGGAAACCACAAGACTTCCCAGAACAGAAATCAAGTTCATTAGGGTAAGGTTTTAAGACTCCATCGTTTTTTCACTTTTAAAAATTGGACGCTATTTCCAATATTTTATCACCGTGAAGAGGGATGCTATAAATACATTTGCTCTTGGGGGTCTTTTTGCCTTTTTTATGATCTTTTTGGGATACAGTCCTTGTAGTGGAATTGCTGGTTTTATTGCCCTTTGGGCATAGTTCCAAATTGTTCTTCAGAATGGTTGGATCAGATGGTAAAATATTGGAAATTGAGGGGAAGCCTATGAATTAGGGAATGGCTACACAAACTATGGTATATGAATGTATTGGAATGCTATTGTGCAACAAGAAATGATGAACAAGCAGACTTCAGTAAAACCTGAAAAGACTTGGACAAATTGATGCAAAGTGAAATGAACAGAACCAAGAAAACATTGTACAGTGTATCAGCAACATTGTGTGATGATCAACTATGAATGATTCAGTTCTTCCTAGCAACACAATGATCTAAGAGAAGTAAAAACGACTCACAAAGGAAAATGCTATCCACATCCTGATAAAGAACTGATGGATGCTGAATGCAGATTGAAGCATTTTTTTTTACTTCATTCTTTCTCATATATTTTTTTTAAATCTGTTTCTTCTTTTACAACCATGACTAATATAGAAATTTTTTTTACATCATAGCACAAGTACAAACTGTGTCAAACTGCCTAGCGTTTTCAGAAAGGAGAGGGGAGGCAGGGAAGGACAAAATTTGATATTCAAAATCTTGTAAAAATGAATGCTAAAAATTTTCTTGACATGTAATTGGGGAAAAAAATTTTAAAAACTATTAAACTTTTTTAAAAAATGGTTGGATTAGTTCACAACTCCATCAACAGTGCATTAGCGTCCCAATTTTCCCATGTCTTCTCCAACATTTATCATTTTCCTTTTCTTTCGTATTAGCCAATCTGATAGGTGTGAGGTAGTACCTCAGAGTTGTTTTAATTTGCATTTCTCTAATCAAAAGTGATTTTGGAGCACTTCTTCGTATGACTATAGATAGCTTTGATTTCTTCTCCTGAAAACTCCCTGTTTATCATATCCTTTGACTATTTAGCACTTGGGGAATGACTTGTATTCTTATAAATTTGACTCAGTTCTTTTTTTTTTTTTGGTTAGGCAGTGGGGTTAAGTGACTTGCCCAGGGTCACACAGCTAGTAAGTGTTATGTGTCTGAGGCCAGATTTGAACTCAGGTCCTCCTGAATCCAGGGCCAGTGCTCTATCCATTGTGCCACCTAGCTGCCCCAACTCAGTTGCCTACGTATTTCAGAAATGGGGCCTTTTTCAGAAACACTTGCTGTCAGGGCAGCTAGGTGGTTCAGTGGATAGAGCACCAGCCTCAAATCTGAGTTCAAATTTGGCCTCAGACCAAACACTTGACATTTACTAGCTGTGTGACCCTGGGAAAGTCACTCAACCGCAATTGCCTAAAAAAAAAAGAAAAACACTTGCTGTAAAAATTGTTTCCCATCTTTCTGCTTTCCTTCTAATCTTGGTTGTACTAGTTTTGTTTGTGCAAAACCTTTTTAATGTAATCAAAATTATTCATTTTGTATTTCATAATGTTCTCTAATTCTTGTTTTATCATAAATTCTTCCCTTTTCCATAGATCTGACAGGCAAACTGTTCCTTGCTCTTCTAATTTGCTTATGGAGTCACACTTTATGTCTAAATCATGTATCTATTTTGACCTTACTGTGATATATGATGTGAGCTGTTGGTCTATAGCTAGTTTGTACCCTACTTTTTTCCAGTTTTCCCAGCAGTTTTTGTCAAATAGTGAGTTCTTATCCCAAAGGCTGGGGACTTTGAGTTTATCAAACACTAAGTTCCTATAGTCATTTACTACTGTGTCTTGTGTACCTAATCTATTCCACTGATCCACCACTCAATTTCTTAGCCTGTATCAGTTTTGATGATTATTGCTTTATAATATAGTTTGAGATCCGGTATTACTAGACCTCTTTCTTTTGTATTTTTTTCCATTAATTCTCTGATATTCTTGACCTTTTGTTCTTCCAGATGAGTTTTGTTGTTATTTTTTCTAGTCCTATCAAATAATTTTTTAGCAGTTTGGAAAGACCCAGCTTTTTAATAGCAACATCATTAGTGTCATATGGCTAAGAGATGTGGAACGGAATAGTCTTCGAAGAATTGAAAATGAAAACCTCACAGAAGATAAACGGAGAAGCATAGTAGGTATGAGCTAGCTGCAACAACCAGGAAGGAACTTTGAAGAAGAACAAGAATAAAATATGTCATTAAGGAAATGTATGATAGAAACAGAAGATGGGCTACTAACATGAGTAGGGTGAGTGATGATAGGTGGACCAGCTGACAGCTCCGCTGATATCCTCATGATGTCAGGAGAAAGGAAGAAAAGTCTCTAACTCATTGGGTGGACTTTCTATCATAAACTAATGAG